TGTAGGAGACGCTGATTTGTCTTATGTTCAAGCAAAAACTTCGACAACCAGAGTTAAGACCGATTATTCAGGTAGCATATGAGTTGGTGTCTGTTGAATTAAGGAAGAACTTTCTGGAACTGGTTTACTCTCTCTCCATGGTTTGGAGAAATGAAGTCCGTCAGTAGGAGCAGAGCTCTGAAGGCCATGGGTAGCTAGCCCTGACTCTAAGGCTGGCTGTGGGGACAGGACGGGACACAGCCTCCTGACCCTGACTTCAGTCCTGGGAATGTGGGGGAGACACTGGCCTCTATCGCTGGGGCCATCAGAACATCAGTCTGAACACAGAACTCCTGCCTTTCCTTTAAGGGGCGGGGTTGAACCTGGGTCCCTGGGGGGACTCAGAGGCCCCAGGCACCGCCAGGCAGCCCTGAGGGGGTCTGTTCTTGGCTGGGCACCAGGAGGTCACCCTCAAACAGAAACAAGGAAAGCATAAGAGCCAGGCCCCTGCTCAGGAAACCTCCAACACCCACACGATGGTGTCAACCCCGAGACCCCAACACCAGAAAGAAAGTAAAAAATGGAAGCTAGTCCCACAGACCCTGCCAAGCTCCCCAGGCCACATCCTAACTGCTCATGCAGTTGGTGGGGAGACAACGCAGGGCATGGCTCAGGCTTAAGCCACGTGGGCAAGCCGCCTAGCCTCACATGTAAGGTGGGGGTGGAACAGTACTGATAGGAGGGTCAGGCCCGTGGGCCCACACGGCCCAGCAAATGCCTGCAGGCCGCGAGTGCTCTAAAGGGGCCACAATGGTCACATCCCGCCCACCGCCTTCCCTGCTTTCCTGCTGACCACAAGGGTCAGGTGTGTGTGCAGTTACAGGTTTCACAGTTCACACCCATTTCCTTATCACCTATTTGACCACCCGGAAAAGCTCAACACCTCCAATTCCACCCTTGAAATAAGGACAATTTTCTGTCTGCAACAGAGTCAGCCCAAAGGAATCCCAGCTGCACCGCACTCTGGAGAAAGACTCAGCACACGTGTGCAGCAGTGCCGGCGCCAGGTCATGGGGGTGGCACGAGTTCCTGGGCTGAGTCCAGTGTGGCCATCCTTCCCAGCTGACCTCAGCGCAGACGCCGACAGCTGAAAAAGTTACAGCATGCAATCATGTTCAGAAAGGAAGTCAGATGGGGGAAATAACGGGGGGGGGGTGCAGACGTAATGTGCCTTACCACCATAGGCCTGCGCATCGGTGGAAGGAAAGAGCAGATCGATGCTCTCAAGGGGCCCTTTGGGTTCCAAATTCCTTCAGTTTTCCCAGAATCTTATAAAGGGACTTGGGACTGAAGGCTGGGCCAGGCGAGCAGTCCAGGTCAAGTCCTGAGATTTTCCATTGATTGTCACTGCAATCTTACCTTTGGAAAACGTGCGTCTTTCAAAGACACTTTAAAAGCCATCCAGCATCTCAACTTCAGTTCAAAATCATGTTGCCAGGTAATAGAATATGACACATCTATTTAAAAATACTGTTGACAAAGAGATGGCAGTCACATTTTAATAGAAGTGTTCCCCTCATTACCTGAAGCAAGATGCAAAATAGGATAGAGCCCGACCTCAGCTGTGTAGAAAGGGAATCCCAGAGGCCCATGATGGTGGCCTTCATGCAACACAATCAGGGGAACTTTTTCCTGTTTCCTCACCTCCCCATTACACTGCAACTTTCTACAGGGGTGTCTATTACTCTACCAACAAGGAAAAACTTTAAATAGCATGAGGTTTAAGACAACACTGAGTCACATGTACACTCATAAGATGTGCAGAGATTTAGGAAGTCAAGTTTTTGCTGGTGGTGGTTTAAAAAAATGGCGTTGGCCCCTAATGGCTATTTCCAGCTGGGCACAAACACTAGCACCTGGATCTGTCCAAAGGCCATCACTCCTGATCTCTCAGAAGGCAGTGTGTCAGGCGGGGGACCCAAGCCTCTCCCATTCCCTCCGCTGTCTGCACTGGGATGGGTTTTGTTTTCAACGCCCATTGGTTTCTTGCGCTGTGGCTTCAGAAGCCAAGCTGTGTCTGTCAAACTTATCTTTCTAACAGTCCTGGTGACAAGTCTTGCAAGCAAGAAGCTCGATGTATCTGAATGAAGGGATTCGGGGATCAGCGAGGTTTCCAGGACCTGCACCCCCCCAGGTATTCAGGACTCTGGACTCTGCATTGGATACAGGAGGCAGTTGGGAATCACAGGGCAGTCCTGGGACCTCCCCCCCATACACCTCCTCAAGAGGGAGGGAGGTTCCCTCTTCGGGGAGGAGACTAGTTCCCAAGGTGTGATCATGCCAGCAAGGTGTTCCCTCTGTGAGAGGGTCAGCCTTCTTCTCAGGCTGGGACACTTCTCTGAGCCTCCAGGAACCCTGCCATGCCTGGGAGCTCTGGTCGCTCTGGGGGGGGGGGTCGGTCAGCAGGTCTCCCATGTGAGCAAGATCCCCCAGAGGGCGGCTGCCCAGGGCAGAGGTCACAAGGTCAGCACAGCATGGAGGTATCAGGGCAGTACTGGAGTTGTTCTAGGCCACATTGCCACTCTACCCTGCATGACCCTGGGCAAATCATTCAATTTATCTGGGCCTTGATTCCCTCGTCTGTAAAATGGGGATAGCAGACCTTCCTCCCTGGGTTGTGGACGTAGTTAGTTAGAAGATGCAGAGTGGCCAGGCATGGTGGCTCACGCCTATAATCCCACCACTCTGGGAAGCCAAAGTGAGAGGATCTCTTGAGCCCAAGAGTTCAAGACCAGGCTGGCAACATAGCAAGACCTTGTCTCTAGAAAAATCAACAAATTAGTTGGGTATGGTGGCATGTACCTGTAGTCCCAGCTACTCGAGAGGCTGAGGTGGGAGGATCCCTGAGTCCAGCAGATGGAGGCTAAAGTCACTGTGGCTGTGCCACTGTTCTCTAGCCTGGGTGACAGAGTAAGACTTGACTCAAAAAAAAAAAAAAGAAGATGCTGACTGACTTGGCATCTCGGAAGCACCATGTCATGTCAGCAATCACAATAAACCAACGAAAAGCTCACCTGTCCTCACTATGCCATCCATGAGGGCAAGGTCCTGATTATGGCTTCTGAAGGGCCCCTGTTACTAGCCCCAAGGACAGCAAGGCATCAGTGGGCACCACCTCCCAAGCAGCGTGAAGCTGGCACCCGTCCCACCCTCCGGTGCCAACGTCACAAGAGCTGACTGGCCGCATGGACTGCCGGGTGAGCAAACGAGATGGCAAAACCAGGCCGTCTCGAGGGGCACTATTTATAGTAGGGTGTTCCTTCACCTCCAATTCACCATGTCACAGTTTGGTTGGCTTCACTTTGGGGAAAGAGTGTTCTTGTCAAAACACATCCAAAACATCCCAAATCCGAGGAGATCATTAGTGAGGAGGCCCAGGAAGGTTTGGGTCCCCTCAGCAGCAGCAGATGCCACCAGGCAAGCTTGTGGAGTGACTGACAGTTATTTACCCTTCCGCAGGAAATCCGGCAAACACAACAGGAAAGACGATCAATGTATATTTTAAAGGAATGTGTATACAAACAAACTCCCTCCCATATGTTACTGGGTTTCCTCCAAAGGAAACAGATTCCATCAAATGCCTACCAGGCACTCGGCGACGTATTAGGCTGTGGGAATCATGGCCCCTCCTCAAGGAGCTAGAAGTCAAGCTGAGTAGGCAAGCCCAGCACCAGGGAAAGGGCCAGGTAGCAAGGCAGATACTTGCAAGGGTCCAGAACAACATGGGCCGTGGGCATCTCAGGAGATGAATGGGATCACCTCAGGCTTATACATTACCCTGGGGCGGGTAGGGGCTTGAGCTGAGCCACAGTCTAGACATATGGGATCCAGGAAGTAGGAGAAGAAAGAAAAAGTCGTTCCAGGCTGGAGAGGCAGCGTGAGAAGTGTGGAAACAATGGCACCAGGCACGTGTGCAGAAGAGTGAGTTGGCAGGTTCACTACAGGGGGCTTCAGAAACAGAGACCATCAGAGTAGGAAAGGGCTCTTCTAGACTGACTAGTCTAATCTTGCTTTACAGATAAGTGAATGGAGGCTCAGAGAAGTCAAGCAGTTACCCTAAAGTCACACAGCAAGTCACTCGTGGGGAATCTGTTGGGAAAACAGACCTGTCAGTACTCAAGTAAGAACTGGAGCTCAGAGTAAGTGGATGGACTGCAGAAAGTCAGGGGACAGAAATAGAGCAGTGTCCATCACTGAACACCGCAGGAGGTGTTCAGTGCACACTTGCTGAGGGCAGTGACAAGACGACCACTGTGTAACTTCAGACACACCATTTGGTGTCTGTGATTTCATTCTCTCCTCCTCCTGCTATCCTTCCCATAAGTGAACAAAAATCACAGCTTGACCTGGGTGTGTCCGTGCAGTGGAAAAAATAGTCCTCGGAGATAAAAGTCTCCAGGAGTCTCAAAGAACTTCAGATCTTTCCCCTCTCCATGGTGTGTGTGGGCACAGAGGGCAGAAAACAACCCCTCTGTGGGCGGCAAGGGCTGAGGGAGGAAAACCTGTGTTTCTTTCTCTTGAAGCCCTCTAATCTCTCATTGCCTTGAGGTTGTGAGAAATCAGGTGCTTTGTACATTTCCCTGATGAAGGAGAGGACTGAAAGAGGTTATGAGTCCCCAGAAGGTGATTCAGGACTCCTGTCTTGGTCGCCAAGCAGCGAATCAGTAAGGAAGGGGATGTGTCTCAACACATCAAGGAGGCCAGGGAGCTGGCACTTCCTGACACAGCTGGGTGTCACCACCCACATATCCCAGGGAGTGACCACCTACGGATGTCTGGGGTGTCACCTCCTACATCTGTCCAAAATTTTTTCCCGGCCAATTCTGGGGTCTCTGAGGAGTTCACTGAGCTACTGTTACGGTCTTGTGTATAACTCAGAAACATTAAAAACAATCAAAACTCAAAAGCTACTAACGGGTCACTACTAGAATTGATGTCTGTAGAAAGCACAGAAAACCCACCTTAAGCAGCTGGCCGTCTCCAGTCCCCAAGAATAGCACTGTCCTGTTCATCACCACAGTGCCATAAACGGACGTCAGGTCGGAGTGCACCAGGGTGGCAGCAGCGATGGGCTGGACTCTCTCAGGCTGGTCCCCCTCTTTCTGAACATGCACACAGATGCACAAAAAGAGAGAATGTTAATAGTGATGCCTCTCGTTACCCTGATAACACGTCACCCCAATCCTCCTGGGCAGGATCCCCCTGCCGGGCCCCACTGGGACAAATGCTCAGGAGCTGCCCTCTACTCCCTCCAGCTGCAAGGTTGCCCCAGTATCCCAACCATGGAAAACCCTATCCACACAGGCACTGACTGCTGAAGAAGCTGGTGCCCACCTCACCCCCAGCTGATGTACGAGGCTGCAGTCCACGTTATGGCCAAGAGATAGCCCCCACCCAGCTGGAAGAAGACTAGCATTCATGTGGCTAAATGTTTGCAGGAGCCCATCACCAGTGCCTCTAAGACAGGCACTGGCTTCTGTGAGGTTCAACATAAACATGTCCCAAGTGGCACGTGGGGGATCCTCTGGGTGTGATGGCACAGGGGAGGGATTCTGGACTTGCAAGGAGGGTGCAAGGGATGCCCAGGACAGGGCAGCTCACTCGGAAGGGAAAAGGCCCCTGACCTGAAAGACAGTGGGTGGAGCAGAACACAGAGCCCAAGAGGCGCCCAGGAGCAGGGCTGAAAGCTCTTCTAGGAGATGTGAATTTGTTCTTGCCGACCAAAGGTTCCACTAAGGTTCCAGGTGCCTGTCATCCACTCCAGCCCCATCATTAAATAAAGCCCCTCTCCAAACCCAGGCTGAGAGAATGTCGGCCAAAAGATCTTTTGCTTCTTTGTTGAAAAGGAACGAAGTGCTCCATGCTGCTTCCTGCCTTCAACAGCAGGAAACTGAGTTTATTGCACCAATCTCTGGAAGATATGGAGCCAGGAAGAGCTATAGCGTCCCCAGCGCCTGAGCGCAGTGTGATAGCATGCTTTATCTGCCAGGGCTGGTTCCCAACGCACTGAGCTTTCCAGAGGCACATGGAAGTCACAGCCAATGGGAGAGCCAAAGCTGGTGACTCCAGCAGCAAGACCACAACTCCCCAAGTCGCCCCGTTTGGGGAGGGGAGGACAGGACTTATTAACTTCATTATATTATTGCCAACAGTGTTTATGTCTTTCAATTTATGTCTTAATAAATATTCATTATTTTTAAGCCCACCAAGTTTCATGAACATCTATACTGAATGGATCCACAGGTTAAATTGATTTCTGAAGCCCTGCAAGTGACGTCTGGGTGTCTTTGTTGGAGTTGCGCTGTGGGGAAAAGATAAGCTAGCAGGCTTCCCCCAGTGCCCCGATCACTTTTTAAGGAAAGGATGTCATAACCTATGAGAAAGCCACTTTCCTGCATAAAATATTTTACAGTGAGCTCGGCTTAAGAAGATTTGGGAGAAGCTCATTAGAGACTTTTTTTTTTCCTGTTTAAAGATACTCCACGCATTATGGGAAAATGAGAAACTGTCCTGTTAAAATTGAAGTTAAGGGAAAACATCTCTGCAGGTCGAGGGAACAATGGATCACTGTTTAGATAAGAGGCCTTGGGACTCAAGTAGAAGAAGAAAATCAGATGACCTTTAGGATTCAAAAATAAATAAAACCACACCACACACCTTGCTTTAAAATAAAACCAGAATTGTTCAAACGTAAGACCAAATGACCATGTCTATCATCTTTATTAAATATTTGAGCCCTGCAGAGAGGCTAAGTCAGAGAACTGGCCATCTGGAATGTTCTAAGACTGCTACCTTTGGCTGGAGGATTACATTCCCCTTCATCTCACAATACAGAAAAAGGGATGGGTGTGGACTGCAGATAACCCAAGAACCCAATGAGTCAGGGTACCTCCAGGCCCGGTATACAGTAGGGCTTAATAACTGCACCGATTCTAATTCACTAAGAACCACGATGTCACAAGTAGCTTCTGCTGAGCTCGGATGAGATATCCTCTTCATTCCCTTTCAGCTGACTCCAAAAGCTGAAAGGGAACGAAGAGAAAATTGGTTCCAAATTATAGTCTCACCTTTCCTAGTGTCCTTCTCTGACTTCCAACTGTTCCTCAACTTGTAGCTTTTCAAATTAAGTCCCAGATCAATAGCCCAGGTAAGCAGTGCAGCCATGAAATCAGTGTTCCCAAACTCGAGAGACTGATGTCTAGAACAACCTGCCCAGGCTGAGTCTGCATCTGAGTGAGGCTGTCCCTCACTGGATGATTGGGGCTGCTTATTTAACCCTGTTGGGAGTGGGCGTTCTCCAGGGTCTGATGTGTCTGACTGCTCAGGTGATTATGAAGAAGCAATCATCATGATAATACCAACTACCCTGTATAAATGTGCCAACTGGACTATCTTGTCATCTCACTTAGTAGAGGCAGTAGAGGGGAGTGAGCTGGACCGCCTGGCTCTGTCACTTATAGCTAAGTAGTTTTGTGCACATTACTTAACTCTCTGTGACTCAGTTTCCTCCTCTATACAATGGAAATGATGATAAGAGCATTTATGCCACAGACTTGCTGTGAGGACTGAACACATTAGTGTGTCTCAGTAGAGCTTAGAACAGTGTCTGGCACATAATATATTCAACCCATGTTGCTATCATTATTTAAAGGCACTGTTGCTGCCACACCCATGGCAGTTGTTTCTACTTTCTTTGCCAAAAACAGTCCTAATTTTGTTCAGCAAACAAAGAACCCAAGCCTGATGGAAACTATCATTGGGCCAAGCCAAGTGGCAACCCCAGTTCTCACTGCCAGATACTGGCTCTCCTATACCTTAGAGCTTAGGTCAGCCATATAGTCCAGTTCTGGGCATGGAATGTCCAGAGTCCACTGGAAGGATTTTTGGGAAGGAGTTTCTTCTTGGACAAGAAGAAGTCTCTTGCAAGAACTTGCTTGCCCTCTTCCTCACTTCTCCCCCCGGCTACCGCTGCCTGAGCCCACTGCATGTAGCCTGGTGGCAGCTATCTTGCTTCCATGAGATTCAAGATGGAAGATCAAAGTCAATATGCCAAGACTGGTACAGGGGAAGAGAAGAGGGTCTTGGTCCTTGAAGACACTGTTGAGCCCCAGAATGCCAACCTTTAAGCTTGTTACTAAGTTAACAATGGATGTGGTCTGAGCCCCTGGTGGCGGGGTTTCTGTTACTGGGAACCCAAAGCAAGTCACTGTTAAGAAACGAGAGCCGACTTGGGGCAGACCCTGGGCCGTGGGGGGCCAGGACACACGCTGGCTCTTCTCGCTGCCCAAGGACCTGGACACAGGCTGGTTCTATAGCCAAGTACCACAGTGAGTCTGGAAGAAAACAGGAAAGAGAAGGTTTGGCCCCCAGCAAAACTCCGGGGGCGGCTTGGGCTGAATAGAAATGGATTCTTTTGTGCTGGAAACACACGAAATGACCAGGTCCCCAGGAGTGGAAAGAGAGTCCTGAGTGGCTTTCTTATGCTCCTGGCAGCAAATGAAAACAAAAGGCAGCCGCCCAGAGCCTCCGTTCAAAAGTGGGGCCAACACCCAGGAGCTGGCAAGGGGGAAGCGTACCAGCCCTGTGGTCTTCTCGGCCTATTTCTCTCCTGCCTTCTCTCCCCCAGGGCATAATCGCTGCTGCTGCTCTCATCCCATTCTGTCTGGTTGATTATGTGTAATTTATTTCTGAGTCCTGGCCTCCCCTGTCGCCGGCGTGTAACAAGGTTAACGCCTATAATGACGCTTTTGCCAGTTCTGCCTTTCATGACAAAATCCAATCTTGATTCCCTCTAAACCTTGTCTCCCCTGTGGGCTTTCTTGGCTCCCCCGGAGTTGTCATCCTGCTGCTCCTTCCTGCCATGTCTAACCACAGCGTCAACGCCTGCGCGCTGGCCGTGAGAAGAGGGAAACTTCCTCAGAGGGAGGAGAGAGCCACCGGCTCATCGAGGCTTGGGCTGAAAGCGAACATGTGGGGTCCGACGAGCAAGATGGGACCAGAGTTCCTGAGCAGGGGGTGTGCCGATGCACGCTCGTGCGTGTGCCTGCATGTGCATGTGTGCATGAGTATGTCTGCGTGTTCATGTGTGGGGTTCTATGTGCATTTGTGTGCATGTCTGTGTGCACCTACGTGTGTCATGTGTGCATTTGTCTTTGTGCACATGTGTGTGCACGTGTCTGTGTGTGCCTGTGCATATCTGTGCAGGGAGTCGTGGGCTTGTCACCAGGGAAACAGTTTGACCTCCTTGTAGCTGCTTCATACTAATTTTCATTGACAATAAACACTCCCCCATCGTGCACCGGACAACTCCAGGGGGTGCCACGCATTTGAGGGCATGAAGGCTCACTGTGGAGGGAGCCACACTGTGGCCCTGCCCCTGCCACATGCAAGATGCCCCAGCTCAGCGGGGTTCCAGCAGGTGCTCACAGCCAAGCCATGGGCTTGTGGTCACATCCGGAGGCAATGGGACTACAGGAGGGCCTGCTGGGCCAGGCTCCCGCCAGTCTGCTCCTGTGCCAGAGCAGGGCCCCATCACCCTGACAATCACAAAAGCTCCCGGGTCACATTTCCGAAGACCTGCTAAGCAAATGTCATCCTTTCCTGCTGAGGTCACGGAACCCACGACCCGGTTTCAGGGCTGCTGGGACACTTCTCCAGGCTTTCTCCCTCCAGCCCTTCCACTCAGTCTTCCCACTATGGGCTCCTAGCAGGAGGCAAGCCTTTTTCCCCATGGTGCCTAGGGGACGCTGGCCTGCTGGTGTCCTTCCAGGCGGACTCTCATGGTCAGAAGCTCCTCGGGCAGCTGATTGTGAGAGACCGTTGAAATTCTTCTTTACCATTTCCTGTTCCACACCCAGGGCCTACTTACAGTTAGGAAGCCTCCAAGGCAACTGACACCCAAGTTCTGACCCCTGCTCAGTCCCTGTCGGCTGCTGCACGTTGGGCAGTTGAGTCCCTGAACCTCAGTGACTACGTCTGTACAACGGACACGATAAAACCACATGCCCTGCTCTCAGTGCCAGAGTGAGGCCCAAATGAAATCATGTGAGTGAAGATCATTAGATTATTTTTATCAAGTTTGGGAGCTGGAAGGAACAGCAAT